TTTTTTGGAAAAATAAAAAAGGATTTAAAAAATTTTTTTTTTGAATTATTAGAAAAAAAAATTGGATTTTAAATTTGAAAAAATATACAAATATACAAATATAATATATAAATATATATTTTTTTTTTTTAATAAATTTTTTTTTAGTCGTTACAACAGAAAAATGTCGAGTTAGATGATATGAAGGTATAGTAGTTATGATTTATAATTAATTTAATTATCGTAAATAATTATTGATTTTTTTTGTAATTAATAATTGTAATTAATAATTGCTAATTTTTTTTGTAGTTAAAATTAAATAACGTGATAAATGAACTTGAAGATTATAAAAATAAATATGAATCAATATTAAATCAGAATATTAATTTACAGGTAAAATCAATTATAACTATTATAATTATTATAATTATAATTTATTATTTTTTTCTTTTATTTTTTTTTTCAAAAAAATTTTAATTATTATTATTAATCAATTCTTTTCTTTTCTTTCTTTTATGTTAAAAAGAATGAATTACAAAAGTTTACTTCTTTACAAAAGAATTCAATTAATGATATTACTACTGCTGGTACAGTAGATTATTCGAACGATATAATTGATGAATTAACAAAAGAAGTTCTTGCTTCAGTAAGCGTTAAAGATTTTTGTAATGATCTTGATAAATGGATTATTAAAAATAATAATTCTTTTGGTAAATATGATGCTACTATTACTATTACTGGTAAAGTTGATACCGTAGTTTCTTCAGATACAACAAAATCTTCTGTAAGAATAATAGATTATCATGATGATATTAATAAACGGATTATGAAAATTAATAATTTTGATGAATCATCAGTATCATCAGTAGCAGTAACGACATCATCATCATCATCATCATCAACGTCATCATCATCAACGTCATCGATGACGATGGAAATAAAGCCTCCAGAAAAAGTATTAACAAAAGAGAAGGAAGCACATAAGATTACCGTGTCAAAGTGTAAACAAACAAATATTAAGTTCAAAGATGCTAATAAGAAAAATTGCAAGAATGATAAGAATGATGATATAGAAAAGTCAAACAAAAACAAAAGCAAAGCTCAAAAACGTAAAATTAATCATATTGAGACTTCGGATGATAACAATAATAATAAGTTGGATCCTTTACAATTTTTATTATTAAAAAAAGGAAGAAAGCTAAATAAAATTTTATCACGACCACCAATTAATGACGATGATGCACTTATTATTTCTAATCAATCAGAATCGAAAATAATAAATATTATTAATGAATTATTAGTTGAACCAATTAAAATAATAGATGAAAATTCTGCTGAAGCTAGAATTTATCAATGGAAAAATCAAGAATTACAATATGAAAAATTCAGAGTAGCACTTGAATCTTATAATTTATTACATTTAATGTCACTTATTAAGATTTATGATGATCTTTTAAAAGTTGGTGAAGAAATAAAAAATAATCCTGAAAAGAATATTAAAAATGTTAAAATTTGGGTATTTGATTTTGTACGTAACAAATTAAATATTAAAAGTAAATTAGAACAAAGAAATAGACTTGGTTGTAATAGGTTACTTCAATTATTTAACGAAGGAATTACAAGTGATCAAATTGTAAAAGCTGGATTTCATAAATGTGATTTTTTTGTTAAACAACAAGATTATGATATTTTTTTATCTCAAATCCCTTCATCTTTAAATTTATCAAATGATTATTTATCGGATAGTACAGAAACTTCTAATATTAATAAACCCCAATTAATACATAATAATGATGAATTACAAATTAATAATAATAATAATAATAATCAAAACACTACCAAAAATGAGGCAAAACAAAATACATCAAATAAAAAACAAAAAATTATGAAATCTTGATAATAAATAGACTATATAATAAACGTATTTTAATTTATTATTAGAATTTAGACATATAATTTTTTTATTTTTTTTTTTTTACTTTAATAGAATATTCATAATACTATTTTATAAATTTGTAATTTTGTATGAAATTTGTAAACTTTTAAAATTTTAAAGAATTGTTATTAATAGTAATAAATCTCATATTTCGTTTAAAATCATTACAATTAATGAAATTGCAAAACGATTTAATGCATATTTAACAAATGTATTAATAAATGAAGACGAGGACGAAGATACATTAAGAATTTGAAAGCTGATAATGCTAGATGATTACAATTGACAATGCCACGCACTTAATGTGAACTTAGGAAAATAATCAATCTTCTCATAAAGTTTGACCTAATCTTACGCGATCTTTTTACATTACCGACATAGGATACGATCCAGCAATTCCACTCCGGAGGTAAGTTGCTAATATAAAAATACAACTTTTCACGAACGCCTTTATCAATACCAATATTTTAATACGTTATTAAATTTATTCTTTTTAGATAGTAATTGTGCCATCTTGAAAATGGTTTTTCCTATTGGAAAGAATCCATCATCAATCATACGTTTATACCAGTATATAGAATTTTATCATCATCCTTTTGAATAAATCCGTCAATTATTGATATTGTATTTCGAGTTGGAATATTACATTTTTCCCTATTATTTAAATAATAATCACCTTGTGCTACGCGCCAAAGAATTTTTTCGAAGGCTACATTTGATAATTGAGACTCAGTTTTGGATATCGTATGAAAAAGTTTTTCAATCACTTTATTATCTTCTAATTTTGAAGCCGAATCAAGAAGTCGAATAACTTCTGACTTTTTAAACTTCATTTTTCGAATTTATAATAATAATAATTTGTACGTTTCATCAATATTTTTATGTATCAATAAAGATCGATCATAAAAGTATAAATTTGTGAATCCGGAGATACATTATCATTTTTCATCCTGTTAAATAATTCTATAGCCTTTTCGATTTCATTATTCTGTAAATAAGTACCTGTTAGAATAGTATAAGTTGCAAGACTTGGTTGGATAAACTTCATTTTCTTGCATAATATTAAAAATTTTGATCGCGTCATCATATTCAAACATCCACGTAAAAGTGTATTATAATCTAATAAATTTAAATTTATACCGTTCGAATCTTGTAATTTTTGAATAGCGTCTAATCCGGTGATCCCCAAAGAATCAAGGATTAAAACATTGGGTTTGATTCCTTCAGATTCCATCTCACGAAAAAATTCCTTCGCGCGTTCCTTTTCTTCACGTAAAATCGTTGCTCTAATAAGACTAATAATATGTTAAGACTGTTGATTTGATTCCTCTTGATTTCATTTCTTCATAAATTTTAATAATTTGATACCCATCAGAATCATACATTAAAACATTTAATAATACATTATAAATCTGAACATCCGGTTTTATATTAAAGCGTCTAAAAAGTGTATATCCTTAGCGCGTGCAGCAAGTAGTATCGCGTAAGTAACTATGCTACTTTTGATTCCCAAATTAATAATTTCTTTATGTAACGAGCATATATTTTGACGTGAACCTAATTTAGCGAATCCTGTCATCATGATATTATATATATGAAACTGTATTTGGTTGAATTCCTCGACTCTTCATAATTTTGAATAAATTACGTAAATTTTGATAAATCACCAAAATTTAAAGCCGTGGACATAAATATGTTGTAAGTAGAAACATCAGGTATCAGATCTTCAAATATTGAATATTGATATGATTTGTTATAAATTAAAGATTTATCAGATTTATCAGAAAAATCAGTACCTTTTAAGAATTTTCTGAACGTTTCAATAATAAGATTGAAATCTTTTACTGTCAAAGTCTTAAATTGTATGAGTGAGATTATTATAATCATTCCATAAATCATCAATGTTCCTTCCTTCAAGTTGAATAATTGGATGATGTACTTGTTCTTTGATATTTGAAGTTGAAATATCAATTTCTACATCTTTTTTTGCGTCCTTGTTGTAATCTAATGAACCACTATTATCCAAAGATGCTTCCTTATCAGAAAAGGGTTCTGGAACTTATGAACCTTGTTAAATTTTATAATAGAACGATAAAAAAATTTTTTTGTGGCTTATGGTGAGTCATTGTTACATATAAATGTGATTTTAGAGTCAAAGACGTCATTTATAATAAAGATAGATCTGCGCCAGATCTTATGCGATTGTATTAATTTTATTTAATATTAGATTCTCCCATTTTTATTAATTAGCAAAGTAAATACTGCATTTAATGAAACTGTTTAAAAAAATAAAAAGATTTACAAAATATTTATTATCCTTTTCAAAACGTGGAACAATATGAATAGAAATTGATCTTCGTCGAGTGCAACCAAGATATTATGTTACAAAAAAATTAAATGTTCATTTAAAAATTACAATCAAGTTGCATCACTCTTAAAGTATAAATCATTTTTTTTATCTAATCAAGAATCTATCATGTTTTTCATTTATATATTATTTATGATTATAAGTAGAGGTATGGATGTTAATTAATATTTTAACATTTTAATAATTTCTAAGATACGTGGCCATAGTTTTTCAGTTATAATTTAGAAAATGTTAAATAGATATTGTTATTGACTATAACACAGATAAGTTGTTTTCATCAGTATGGTAAATAGAAATTGACAAATTCATGTATATAGTACTAATAACAAAATATAAGTATCTAAATAATTTTTGTTTATATTAAAATAATGAATACATTTTCTTCCTGCTTTTTTGGGTTCAAAAGTTCCTGGCTTGAGTTCTTTACTCATTTTCTACTAAAATGATGTTTGTTCCACCACGGATGCTGTAAGGCGAACTCAACCCTTAAAAAGTAGAATTTACTACTAATGTGATTTAAAAATGATAGTGAATACATTAAATTTTATATAATTTCTATTTAATAATTCTATATTTTATATTATTATTAATTAATTTTATCAAATTTGTATGTATCATTATTAAGTATTATGAAAGATATGAAAGATACTTTTTTTGGTCTACCCTTTACTATTAAAATATCACATATTTTTAAAAAAAACCCAGTTTTTTAAGGTTAGCTAAATAAATAAATATATATTTTTGAAGTATAAAATGGTATTAAGTATCAAAGCCTAAAATGATGAAAAATTCTGACAAAACCCAGAATTTTTGAGAAACATCTGAGCATACCAATGTTTCCGAATTTTTTGTCAGAAAAATCTAAATTTTCATAAGAAATTTCTATATTCTATCGCTTGAAAAAATTTGATTTCTATTTTCAACCTGATCCCAGATTAACATATTTAAGCAATAAATATTATATGGAAATTAATAGGATGCTAAAAATATTTTTTTTTTAAAAAAAACTTCTTATAAATTATAATTGTGATTCCATTATGTACAAAGTTTATTGTAAAACTGGATAATTTTTTTAATTTGAAAATACACTTGATAATTTTATGGCTGTCGAGCCTAATGATGCATTCGATCTGGTAAAGTTGCACTATATATATTTAAACGTGGGTGCTTTCAAAATATATTTGGTAATTCACTTAATCTATTATGAAATTATTTGTATAATTACTTGGAAATTAATGGATTCTAATGTTTTTGATATACTGTATATCTTAAAAATATGATTGAATAATAATCAGTAGTCAAATTTGAGATTGTTTCTCTTTGGGATTTTTAGACTCTTTGTCTTTAGTCTGAGAATGGTATCCATATCATTGCATCCATGTTATTCAAGTTAAATAAATTGATTTGAAGAAAAAAGAGGAGATATCTCCGTCATTTTATAAATCTTTTATCACATGACTGCGTGATATAATATTCTCTTTAGCAATTTTAGGCAATAATACACCTGAGGAAAATCAAAGTGTTTAATTCTTGTTTGCTTGTTTGCCCGTGTGGGTTTTATTTATATGAACTTATGTAATCTTTTAGCACTAAATATTTTTGATATTAAAGATTTTATAAATATTTTTGAGAAATATCATATGATAACATGATCAATAATTTAAGCAATAACTTGTGAAACTTGTGACATATTGAAATAGCAAGATCTATTTTATTGCTAATAGAATTCAATAGGATTCAGTTAAATTTTTCATAAATAATTAATGCTATTTCAAATACTGATAATATAATTTATAAAATTTTAGAAGTTTCAGTTTGATTTTTTTGGTTCATACCTATCTTTAATCGGATGTCAGTTTGATCATCTTCATTTTCTGAATAATCTAAATAATCAATAATAATAACAATATAATAATATCTAAAATTAAAGGAAGAAGGATTATATATTTTACTATTTTATTATTTTTTTTATAATATATTTTTGCTAAATAATAATAATGATTTACTATATGTAGCTATGATTATTAATTTTAATAAAATTATGAGGTTGGATATAGGATTGATTAGATTTTTTAAAGTTATAACATATGTTCAATATTGCTAAAACTAAATATTTTTATATATAACAGCAGAATTGTGGCCCTAACTTGATTTTATTATATATGCTTTTATGACAATGAATACTTCAGCTCACTCCTAATTACTAAATGAATCAAGTATATATTGGCTGAATTCTCTGTATTATAACGAACTTTACGTTAATGATTAAATAATTTTTATTTAATTTTAACTTTTTACTATATTATATATTAAAAATTTTATGTCAAAATGTTCTATTTGTTAAATTTCAATATTTTTTTTTAAAAAAAAATTCAAGCTCGTTTATTTATGTTCAAATTCTTGTTATATTTAGGTCCCTTAAAGAGTAAATTATATTAGTGTACTGATTTGGAAGTTAATATTATAATTTCCTTATTTTGACCTTTAATAATATTTCTTGAAATACGAAAAAATTTATTATTCAAAATTATGCTTCAATGAACATAAACTTTACGTTTTTTAAGTAATAAATGATAAAATATAGAAAGTATAACAAAATAATATTAAAATTTTACTGTCGATATAAAAATTTTGGAAAGAATAACATTTTTTTTATTTCATTCAAATCTTTTAAATAAAAAAAAAATATGAACCATAAATATTAAAATAAATAATAAATAAATAATATACAAGCATGCATAATCAAGTTGTATCGGTCTTACTATACAGCAGTAAATAAAAATCATATTTCCGAAATTTTAATCCTCTGGTATAATAGCCTTTTAATTTTCCTATAATGTAAATATACCCTTTCTACTGAATAGCTTCATCCGTGAATGGTAAACAAATGGATTGCCCACTGTACTAAACCAAATCGATACCACCACAGGTTGATCAAACTTTGGTGGCTAAGTATTTGTGGTTTTTGTGTTGAAGGTAATCTCATCAACTTTGCAACAAATTCAACACAGTAACCATTCGTTGAATACGTAGACTGTAACCCAGAGATAACTATCAAGATTGCAGATCCAACACCACCCAATGCCCAAATGAAATAACCGCGAATTACAAACATTCCTACGAGTACCGCTGCACAAAGTGCTGTATATACAATAATAAGAAACCATCCAACAGCTGGTTCAAATTGAATACAATTATAAATTTTAGCTTGGCCCCAATCAGCAATAATATATCCACACGAAGGTATTTCTATGGAAGTATGAAAATTTTCTGGAAAACTAGCCAAACATATTTCATCATTTATAGAATCAAACGGAAGCCACCACTCCCACACACGAATTACGCCCCACATCATAGCCATAAGAGCAACTATTAATGCAAACAATCTTGATATCTCTTCGATTCGGTAATAAATTTTAAATGATTTTCCGTTTTTATCATTTTGATAATCCGATTCTATCCAATCATCATCTGTTGATGAAGTTGTATACTGAGGACTTTCTCCATTAATTACTTTAAAGAACGTTTTCCACCTTTCTTTAAACCCTTTGGTTCCATCTTCAAGGGTAAGTCTGATAATATTAGATCCAATTGTTAAAGGTAAGTTGAAAGGCATATTATATGCTACAATCATTGGACCTTGCTTTGCACTACATACACGCCAAAGAGACAATGAACTACTAATAACGGCCCATAATGCTGAAATAAGGCTGAACCTATTCCATTTATATGTCGGATATAACATTACCATATTGAGAACTAAGACTGTTACGCTTATTGGCCATGGAGTAAGTTGACTTTCTTCTGAAGGTACCAATACAAGGCCTCCGAATGAACTTCCTTTACAGTATATTTCACTACTTGGAAACATATTTTTAGACAACTTTTTGAACACAATAAACTGAATATATCGATATAATTAATCGGTGTTTATTTTTTATTTTGCACGCGATTACAATTATAATTTTGACCTTTTAATTTATGGAATTATAATCTTTATTTATGTAAAATATAATTATAATAATGAAAATAATCCTTTTTAAAAATAATTCATATTCTCCGTTAATTTTATATTTGTATCATGATTTAAAAAAAAAGGAGCTTAAAAAAGTAGATCATTTGAAATTTTGGTACGTTATCGAATTGCTTATCTTGGTATTTGTCTACCAAAAAAAAAATTGGGGGTGATAAACAAACCAAATAGAGCAATAAATTAATTGTAAATTCAAACCTGTTAATCCTATTTCCCCTTCTTGATTTGGAATTATTAAATGAGTCAGCCTAAGTCATCCCGTGGCGCAGTCAGGATATTTTTGCACAAACAAATAATACATTTATTTTTAGCATTAAATATATACAGTATCATTCATAAACAAATAAGGAAACTACTAGAAAGACCATTATAAATAAATTAAGTAAATATTTACATAAATTTATCTCGAATAATAGCTGTTTTTTTATTGGTTCTATGAATAATAATTTTATTTTAAGGATGAAATTCGAACAAAAATTCAAATAGATTACAATGATCAAGATTGGATCGGATATTATCTGCCTAAAAGAATTTTTTATTACTTAATATATTTTATATATTCCTATTATTGCAAATTTTCAAGTATAGACTAAAGCTTGAAAAAATCGGATTATCTTTAAGAGCATAGATGACTTTTTTTTGTTTTATGCATTAATACCTCGTTTTCATCCATTTCATCATAGAAGTCTTCCATTGATGCAATACCATCATAAGGATTATTGGTCCTTTCATCAAACAAATTTATATACTACATACACTCTGTGTCTGGAACACCCTGAATTCTAGGATTAGCTGATTTAACCATTTTGCTAATTGTTTCAAATGCGGTCTTATGTTTCGTTAATGTAAGCATCATGATTTCCTTATTTATGCCCAGCTAGAAAATATTCCAAACATTCTTCAAATCCGTTAGCACTCCAATAATTTTCACATCTTTATTTACAAAACAATCCGCGATAATCATCTCAAGGATTGCTAGTCTAACGTCTCTCTGCTACTATTTTTTTGAGTTCAAAAATTGCATGAATTCCTGGTCTGAGTGCGTTACCCTCGACACGACTTCTTTTATTAAAATTACGTCCTTTCTACCACGGATGTTGAAAGGTAATATTGAACCTTTACGAATGTTAAGGAATCCTTTTTCATTTGAAACATCTTCGAGTACAATCTCATCAGGAAGTTACGGTCCAAGATGAGCATTAAGTTTCTTTGCACTTTGCTAAATAGTTTTCTGCAAGAGTATTTCATTTATAAGGATCTATGTCTTGCTTTGGATATTGTCCACGGAAAAGTACAGGCTTTATGGACAATTTAGTAAAATCAAGAAAACGCTGGAAGCGATCGTAATTAATTGTTGAAAGTGATGCTGTTCGGATTTTACCTTCATATGCTCATAAATAACTTAACTTGAGAGTTGAGACACAACTTCCTCAGTGAGCAAAAAACCTTTAAATAAAATGAAAGATTAAATGTTAGTGGCGAAAAATTAATTGGCAGAAAGACAGGACGAGTTATATTGTGTTCACTTGCATTGAATAATTTATTACGACTCACTTACCACCAGGGTTGATCTATAATAACGCGAATGTGTTTTTTGGGCGGGTTTGACGATAAGAAGCAGGAAAGAAAAGCAAAAGATTATGTAAGTGTTTAAAAAATTACATGGAAATTTCGTTCCCACCGGCTTTTACAATAACTCTAACGCTGTTTCCTCTGGTGTTTCGAAAGACTTCTTCAACTTTTAATCCTGAAACTTCTAATTTATTTTCTTCATTTGACATATCATCAATAGAAGTGGCCTTAATTTGACCCTGATCTATATTAACTTGCCATAGAACGAGTTGATCGGCGTCAACAGTAGCAAACTCGTTTTGTTTCTTATTCTTAATGGCCTCTTTGAGGTCGAAAATAAAGTTGTCACGTAGAAAGCAGAATTGCTTTCATGAGCAAGACAATAAAGTCTGATAGGCGTTCCAGAAATCGTAATTGTAGACATTTTGTACGTTTTTATTTGTATGACAACGGACAAACAGGGAAGAAATTTTTTCTTGTAAAATAAAAATTTGGGACTATATGAGAAATCGAATCATATACAGATTGATCTGATCAGTTACACAACCGGTTTCGTTATTTAGTTTTTTCCGACATTTAACTTACCAATGGTAACGATTTTTTACAAAGAAAAAAATTGATTATTAATGATTTAGCGAATGAAATGTATGATGCTATCAAAGAGGGAGGAAGTACGCGGACCCTAGACCATTTAATGCGAGTTCCAACATCAAGTTATTTCATTGCTCTCTCGCATTTCTGATAAATTTTTATGGCTTAATTCATTCCTATCACTATATCTAACTACAAGATTCTGTTTTCTACAAACACGAAATAAACTATATTTACAAAATCCCGCCAATATAAGTCACTCCTACCCACACAGATATATAGAAATTTTCGATTTTATATAAGCTCCGAAAAAGAAGTTTCCCAAGATTGAATAGTTTCGAGTCTACAGCGTAAATCGGGAGATCAGCAATTGAGGTAAAAAAAGCAATGTAATGTTACTATTTGATTTACACGTCTCATTTTTCGAACATTCCAGTCCGCCTCGTTTTTTAGGAAACCTGACGCTGTAATTCCAGAATTTACCTAGAGAATTTATTAATTGTGGGCGCAGTATTATATTTAGTCTAAGTGTATAAATTTTGTATTTAGTATTATGACTTGTATAACTCCGAGATCATGAGTATAAACTGAGCCATATGTAATGTTTAGTATTACATAGTTCTTGTGTTTGCATTTATTTTTAGAATTGGAAATGAGAATTAGAATCGTAAAATTGCTAGATAAGGGAAGAAGCTTGGAGATTAAAAATGAAGGAATATTTATTTTTACAAGGAAAAAGGTGTTCGAATTAGAATTCTGACGGGGAAAGTGAGTAGAAGTGAAAGGTTCACTAAAAATAAAACTTGGAATAAGAATTGGAGATTTCAAAAAGGAGAACCGAAATATTTTTATGATCTTAGAATTTTTTTGTTATGAAAATCAATTTCTATAAATAGGGTGAGATTTAGGACAACGAAAAAGGAAATGAAATCAATGGGAATAATCATGAATCATGAATTATTATAACTAATTATATTAGGATATATTATTAAAGGTAGTGTGTATGCTGATCATTTTTCATAAGTGCGCAGTGGTAAATAATTTTGTTGATCACATGAGGTTCCAGAAACTCGGTACGTATTAAAGCGGGTTTCAAAACGAGTTTTTCTTTTGCTGACATATAGTAATATGACACGTAACTGATATCAAAATTATTAAAAAAATTTTTCAAAACTCAAGTTATTAAAAAAAAATAAAAAATATTCGTAGTATTGTTCTTTCAGTATTTAATGACGATATTATTTCAATAAATAAGATGTTATTTTGTTAATTGTATGGCTGTAATAAATTACTTGATTATATACTTCCTGCTAAACAATTCCCTACACGTTCTTTCCAAGACCAATAGCCAAAACAAACTAACCTTAAATAAAGTTTAAGCAAGTCAAAGAAGTATTATTAAAGGAAACTAAATTTAGTAAAAATAAGTGGAAACCAGAAAGTAATAATGGAATGTTTATAGAAATGAGGTAGGGAATAAAATTAAATGATTCTAATTTAATTTTTTTTAATGAAAGAGGGGAGAGTGTGAAACTAGACTAAATTTAACAATAAAATACGCGTGAAAGTGAAATCAATAAAATTTTTTAACTAAATGGGATAAGGAATAATATTACTGATTCAGAGTTAAATTTTTTAGTTGAAAAAGGGAAAGGGAGCGAAATCAGATGAGATATAACGTAAAATACGAAATTTTTTCATAAAAATAAGGTAAATAATGACATAACATTTAATGAAATATATTTAAAAATGGTTCTAATTGAATTTTTAAAGAATGAAATATAGAATCAATTCAAAATTACATGGTTTATAAATATATACAGGTGAGGAACATGATGGTGGCTAACAGTTATTTGAAATTATTTATTTGATGCTAATGAACTATATTTAATTTGTAGATATTAAAATGATAAACATATTATCATCTACACGGATATTACGATGGGTTTGCTTTATTCTTTAGAAGCAAAGGTGGAAGGATGTACGTGCGAAGTACAGTATATGTATGCCAATACTTTCCGTGCAGGCGGTGGCATAAGCAATCTACATATCATAATAGAAATATTACTGTTATTAATTTAACCATAGAATACAAAATTTATGTTCTTATTCGTTAGACGCGTAAAAAGTAATAAATTTCAATAGTTAACGCTAATTTTACTAAATAAATAGTTCTTTGGTATTTTAAAATAAATATAGAACTAACTACAGTGTAAAGAAATGGTTTACAAAAGTATTTCTAATAAGTTAAAACAATAAACACTTTTAAAAAAGTATTTATTCAGTATTTAAATTATATTATATTATAAACGTATTATAAGCGTTACCAAGTTCTTTTGTTGAGTCGACACCAGTAAATAGGAAACCAATAAAAACCTTATTTGCCCATTCGCAAAAAAAGATTCCCATTCGCAACTTCATACGACGTTTTTTCAAAAGTTTTTTATGCAACAAAATTTTTTAAAGTTGCAAAGTGTTGCTCAAGTTCGTGGCTTTCTAAACATATAAATTTTTACCCCCTTACGTTAGTATTACAAAGTCTATATTGTACTGAAAATTTGTATTCCGATTTGCCATGTTGATCAATAAGAAATTATCACGTGATTTACAATACCTTTAAATTAAGCATTATATTATTATATTTGTTAAATCTTATCTTATTAATAACTGATAAGGTCCATTTCAACACATATAATTTTTTAATCTTGGCCGGAACAATAATTTTGTCAATTTTAAAAGTCTTTTAAACTGAACACTATGAATTCTTTTTTACCAGGAAATTATTTACGGTATATCGTGTTTAAGTTTCTAATAAATAAACAGATAAAATGTTAATCATCAAATGTTTACGTTTAAATAACTTTCAGTAGTTTTCTCTTTATATTTCCTCCAAGTTTTGTTAAACTCTTTAGTCTTCACGTTCATACACTACACAATTTTTTTTTACTCCTATAACAATGGATTTATTAAGAAAAATAAAATTTTTTGAATTTTACTTAGACATCATGGTTCATCTTGCTGAAATCTTTTGCCGAAGGGATATTTCACCGACGGAAGAGATGTTTCACTGAAAGGACGTTTCACCAAAAGTAGTACATTTTATCGAATCCGTTTCATCGCCGAATGGACATTTCGTCGAAAATGGTAGCAATTAACATTTTTATAAAAAGAATTCATCGCGTAATGAAAATAAACATAAATTATTTTAGAGATCTTTTTTTTTCAAGGATATTATCACTTTAACATTTAAGTAACTGATATTAATTGTTATATTTTCCTGCTGATAACATTTATTTACGAAAAGTAAGTGAAAAAAGATTAATGTATTATAAACAACGAGATAAATTTAATAAAAATTATCTAATTCAAAAATTTTTCTAGAAAAGATTTCTTAATAATCTATTTAGTATAAATTTTTTGGCAAAATGTTCATTCAGCAAAATATGATATCCATTTGGAGAAATGTCCATATGAATATCTATTGTTGTTATATTATCCTGTAAAAAATCTGACCCGTGTTTTATCTTTCCATGTTTTTTCCGTGAATGTATCATTTTCATGGAATTTATAGCCTTAAATCATGGGAATTTTCATCTCGCTAACACGGATATCCATGAATGTATCATTTTCACGGAATTTTATGGAAGACACGGAGAAATAATGGAAATATTCGGATAAAAATTTTTTATAGGGTTAAGTTTGATTTAGAAACATGTATATTAAATTTTTTCGTTACGTTTCAATATTTTAATTCATTTGCAATACTTCTACAATAAATAAAAATGTATAGTATTAAATAGCAACAAATTTCCCATTCTTTATTAATAATAGAAGAAATTATCAAATCAAAGTTAACTGTTAATAACATAAACCATAAATAAATAATAGTTCCATTTTAAAGAAGGTAGAAATATAAATAAAAGTACATATTCAACATAAGATATAAACTTAATAAAGAAATAATAATATAAATAAAAAAATTTGGAAATATTGAAATATTCGAAATATTTAAGAACTATTTTCATTATCATTAACTATCTCTATATCAAATAAATTAAAAATTAACATTATGTGCATATATTGTAACAATGTATGATAAATTAAATCAAATACCTCTTGAGCTAGGAACCTCTAAATCAAGTAATTGTGAATCTTGACAATCTGTTAAAGGATAATATTAGTAAATATTATATAATTAATTATTTGATTATATAAGATGTGAACATGGTACCTTTATTTTCTTCTTCATTTAGATATGAAGTAATGATAGGTGAATTAATGGGTTTTGGCAAATTACTAAATGTAAATAATCTACTAGTATAAACGGCATCAGGATTCTTTTCATATGTAGTTGAAATATTTGGTATCTCTTTATCAGCTTCTTCAAACATGGCTTTAATTTCTTTTACTTTATAACCAAATTCTTCTATTTCTCGATACCCATCCCTATCATAAATATGAGAATTATACCAAAACATCAAATTATTTTTTAATTCATCTGCTGTTGGTCTTTGATCAGGATTAGCATTCATACATCTATAAGCTAACTTTTTATAAATTTCAGGAGTTCCTTTTCCAAATTCTGGTCTGAGTCCATTACATATTTCTAATGCTAAGATAGTATCATGTTTTCTTTTATGAAAGGGTGGTTTTCCAGATGATAATTCCGTCATAATTACACCAAAACTATAGATATCAGAAGATAATGTATATGGTTCTCCATTTAATACTTCTGGAGCAACATATGGCAACACACCACATAACTTACCATCTGATGTTTGTTTATTTAATGGTCCTGATAATCCAAAATCTGAAATATAGGACATATTGGACTTTATTATACCACCATAATAAATCTGTAATATATTTCCACTATGAAAATCCTTATGACAATATCCTAATTTATGTAACTTATCAAGGTCATATGATAATTTATATAAGAAATTAATTTTATCTTTCCATAAAATATTATTAAAATCTTTTGAAAGTACACTTCTTAAATTTCCCATTTCTGAAAATTCAACAATCATCATAAATTCTTTGGTTACTGGATCTTTTGTCATTCCATAAAATTTTAGCAAATCAGTTCTTTCTCTACAATAATCACAATGTATTTGAAGCTATGATAATTTAAATTAAAATATTTTAAACATAATATTAATTAACAGAATAAAATTACACATTGTAAATTTGAATATAAAATATACCTCATTTAAATATTCAACTGATATATTCTGTGAATCATTTAACCTTTTCAAGGCAATTTTCATTGGGCTGGATTCTTTTTTTTTCCAAATTCCATCATATTTTCTTTTATATTTTGCTTGACCATCAACCCATGTTGCAGAATATACTTTAGCAAATCCACCTTCTCCAATTTGTTTTATATCTTCAAATCTATCAAATGGTACCCATTCAAGAAATAATGGATAATAATCATCATCATTATTAAAACTTATCTTTGCATTATAAATCGTATCCTTGATAAATTCATCAATATTGTGATTTTCACTGGTCCATCCTTCAATTATGCAACGAGGAACACATTCTTTACACCATGGTTTATAATTATAGTAATAACAATTTTTATGGTTGATATTTACTGAACTTGAATCAAGTTCAGATTCAACTTGAATTTCATTTTCTTTATAATTATCCTTACTCAATTTTTTTATATTAAATTTGGATACTAACTTTTTTATTTTTCTATTAATGTAACTCATTTTTATAATTAAGAATTTTGATAGAAAATAAATTCGTAAAAAAAAACTGGGCGTTTACTTATTATTTGGATAAAAAAGGAATAGTAAGATAGAAAATGTTTGTATTACAGAAATTCATTTATTAGGAATCAGATTGGCGTAAAAATAATAGTTGTACAGAAAAAACAAAATGATCGACGATATTAGGTCCATTTTAACAATTTTTTTTAATCTTGGCCGAAACAATAATTTTGGGTCTTTTAAACTGAACACTATGAATTTTTTTTTTTGCCAGGAAATTATTTACGGTACATCGTGTTTATGTTTTTGATAAATATAAAATCTTAAATATTTTATAATAAAATGTTAATCATCAAATGTTTACTTTTAAATAGTAGTTTTCTCTTTATTTTCCTCCAAGTTTTGTTAGACCTTTTAATCTTCACGTTCATACACTACACAATTTTTTTTTGCTCTTATAGCAATAGATTTATTAAGAAAAATATAATTTTGAATTTTACTTAGACGTCATAAAATAAATTGTACGTTAAAAAAAAACAGAATAATCAAATTATACAGACGTGTAACGTAGGTGTATATAAAAATATCAAAATTATCATGCACAGACGTAAAATTTAAAATTTGACACGAGAAACTTGGATTTTTTTTTTTAATTTTATTAAAAGGGTTTATATATAATCGAAGAAATATGAAGTTCTGTATTTTTTTTATTAAATAGAATCTTTGTTAAAACATTATAAAACTGAATTATTTCGAACAGTTGACGGTCAAGACACATGAAGATGATCTTTTTAAAATAGCCAAAATATGGAATATGGGTGGTAATTTCTCAATGAAAATAAACATCAACAAATTATTTACAATATTTCTACAATAAATAAAAAATATATAATATTAAATAGTAATAAATTTCCCATTCTTTATTAATAGAAGAAATTATCAAATCAAAGTTAACTAGTATTAATAAACTATAAATAAATAATAGTTCCATTTTAAAGAAGGTGGAAATATAAATAAAAGTCCATATTTAATATAAGATATAAACTTATAAAGAAATAATAATATAAATAAAAAATTTGGGATATTGAAATATTAGAAATATTCAAGAACTATTTTCATTGACTATCTCTATATCAAATAAATTAAAATTAACATTGTGTACATATATTGTAACAATGTATGATAAATTAAATCAAATACCTCTTGATTGCGATGAGCTAGGAACCTCTAAATCAAGTAATTGTGAATCTTGGCAATCTGTTAAAGAATAATATTAGTAATATTATATAATTAAATTATTTGATTATATAATATGTAAACATGGTACCTTTATTTTCTTCTTCATTTAGATATGAAGTAATGATAGGTGAATTAATGGGTTTTGGCAAATTACTAAATGTAAATAATCTACTAGTATAAACGGCATCAGGATTCTTTTCATATGTAGTTGAAATATTTGGTATCTCTTTATCAGCTTCTTCAAATATGGCTTTAATTTCTTCTTCATTATTAGTACAAGATAAATACCAGACTTGTAATATATCAAATAATTCGTTTGCTGTTGGCCTTTGATCAGGAATAGCATACATACATCTATAAGCTAATTTTTTATAAATTTCAGGAGTTCCTTTTCCAAATTCTGGTCTGAGTCCATTACATATTTCTAATGCTAAGATAGTATCATGTTTTCTTTTATGAAAGGGTGGTTTTCCGGATGATAATTCCGTCATAATTACACCAAAACTATAGATATCAGATGATGTTGTATATGGCTCTTTATTTAATACTTCCGGAGCAACATATGGCAACACTCCACATATTTTACCATCTGATTTTTGTTTATTCAATGGTCCTGATAATCCAAAATCTGAAATATAGGAAGTATTGACCCTTAAATCTTTATGATAAATTTGTAATATATTTCCACTATGAAAATCCCTATGACAAAATCCTATATTATGTAATTTATCAAGGTCAAAAGATAATTTAAATAAGGACGTAATTTTATCTTTCCATAAAATATTATTAAAATCTTTTGAAAGTATACTTCTTAAATTTCCCATTTCTGAAAATTGAACAATCATCATAAATTCTTTGGTTACTGGATCTTTTGTCATTCCATAAAATTTTAGCAAATTATTGTTTTCCCTACAATAATCCCAATGTATTTGAAGCTATAATTTAAATTAAAAATAGTTTAAACATAAATTAATTAACAGAACAAAATAACATATTGTAAATTTGAATATAAAATATACCTCATTTAAATATTCAACTGATATATACTGTGAATCATTTAACCTTTTCAAGGCAATTTCCATTGGGCTGGATTCTTTTTTTTTCCAAACTCCATCACTTCACCATCAACCCATGTTGCAGAATATACTTCAGCAAATCCACCTTCCCCAATTTTTTTTATATCCTCAAATCTATTAAATGGTACCCATTCAAGAAATAATGGATAACCATCAATATCTTCATCATCTATCTTTGCATTATAAATCGTATCCTTGATAAATTCATCAATATCGTGATTTTCACTGGTCCATCCTTCAATTATGCAACGAGGAACACATTCTTTACACCATAGTCTTTTATCTTTTTCGTTATAACAATTTTCATGGTTGATGTTTACTGAACTTGAATCATTGTCGGAAATATTTAATTTATCAAGTTCAGATTCAACTTGAATTTCATTTTCTTTATAATTATCCTTACTCATTTTATTTTATAATTAAAAATTTCGGTAAAAAAATTTGTAACATATTGGGCGTTTATTTAAATAAGGATATTTAATATATAACTAAAAATAGAATAGGAAGATAGAAAATGTTTGTATTACAGAAATTCATTTATTAGGAATTAGATTGGGCGTAAAAATTTAGTTGTACAGAAAAAAAAATGTTGTACAAAAAGATCGACGATATATTAAGAAAAAGAAAAATAATAAAACAATATTCCTTTAACCTAAAATAATATCATACATAAGGTCCATTTCAACACATAATTTTTAATCTTGGCCAAAACAATAATTTTTGGTCAATTTTAAGTCTTTTAAACTGAATTTTTTTTTTTTGCCAGGAAATTATTTACAGTATATCGTGTTTGTGTTTTTAATAGATAAAATCTTAAACCTTTTATAATAAAGTGGTAATCATCAAATGTTTACGTTTAAAAACTTTCAGTAGTTTTCTCTTTTATTTTCCTCCAAGTTAGACTTTTTAATCTTCGCGTTCATGCACTACACAATTTTTTTTTTACTCCTATAGCAATATATTTATTAAGAAAAATATAATTTTTTGAATTTTATTTAGACGTCAAAATCAATTGTACGTTAAAGAAAAACAAAACATGATAGTCAAATTATACAGACGTGTAACGTACTAGTGTATATAAAAATATCAAAATTCAGTTATCATTCAGACAAAATTTGATACGAGAAACTTAGATTTTTTTTTTAATTTTATTAAAGGGATTTTTATATAATCGAAGAAATATAAAGTTTTGTATTTTTTATTAAATATAATCTTTGTAAAACATTATAAAGCTGAATTATTTCGATAATTGAAAACAGTTGACTGGTCAAGACACGAAGATGATCTTTTTTTAAATAGCCAAAATATGGAATATGGGTGGTAATTTCTCAATGAAAATAAACATCAACAAATTATTTGCAATATTTCTACAATAAATAAAAAATATATAATATTAAATAGTAATAAATTTCCCGTTCTTTATTAATAATAGAAGAAATTATCAAATCAAAGTTAACTATTAATAAACTATAAATAAATAATAGTTTCATTTTAAAGAAGGTAGAAATGTAAATAAAAGTACATATTCACCATAAGATATAAACTTATAAAGAAATAATAATATATTGAAATATTAGAAATATTTAAGAACTATTTTCATTAACTATCTCTATATCAAATAAATTAAAATTAACATTATGTACATATATTGTAACAATGTATGATAAATTAAATCAAATACCTCTTGAGCTAGAAACCTCTAAATCAAGTAATTGTGAATCTTGGCAATCTGTTAAAGAATAACATTAGTAAATATTACATAATTAGTAAATATTTGATTATATAAGATGTGAACATGGTACCTTTATTTTCTTCTTCATTTAGATATGAAGTAATGATAGGTGAATTAATGGGTTTTGACAAATTACTAAATGTAAATAATCTACTAGTATAAACGGCATCAGGATTCTTTTCATATGTAGTTGAAATATTTGGTATCTCTTTATCAGCTTCTTCAAACATGGCTTTAATTTCTTTTACTTTATAACCAAATTCTTCTATTTCTCGATACCCATCCCTATCATAAATATGAGAATTATACCAAAACATCAAATTATTTTTTAATTCATCTGCTGTTGGTCTTTGATCAGGATTAGCATTCATACATCTATAAGCTAACTTTTTATAAATTTCAGGAGTTCCTTTTCCAAATTCTGGTCTGAGTCCATTACATATTTCTAATGCTAAGATAGTATCATGTTTTCTTTTATGAAAGGGTGGTTTTCCAGATGATAATTCCGTCATAATTGCACCAAAACTATAGATATCAGAAGATAATGTATATGATTCTCCATTTAATACTTCTGGAGCAACATATGGCAACACACCACATATCTTACCATCTGATTTTTGTTTATTTAATGGTCCTGATAATCCAAAATCTGAAATATAGGACATATTGGACTTTACATCTTTATTATAAACTTGTAATATATTTCCGCTATGAAAATCCTTATGACAATATCCTAAATTATGTAATCTATCAAGGTCATATGATAATTTATATAAGAAATTAATTTTATCTTTCCATAAAATATTATTAAAATCTTTTGAAAGTACACTTCTTAAATTTCCAATTTCTGAAAATTCAATAATCATCATAAATTCTTTGGTTACTGGATCTTTTGTCATTCCATAAAATTTTAGCAAATTATTGTTTTCCCTACAATAATCCCAATGTATTTGAAGCTATAATTTAAATTAAAAATAGTTTAAACATATATTAATTAACAAAACGAAATTACATATTGTAAATTTGAATATAAAATATACCTCATTTAAATATTCAACTGATATATTCTGTGAATCATTTAACCTTTTCAAGGCAATTTTCATTGGGCTGGATTCTTTTTTTTTCCAAGTTACATCATCTTGTCTTTCATATTTTGCTTGACCATCAACCCATGTTGCAGAATATACTTTAGCAAATCCACCTTCCCCAATTTGTTTTATATCTTCAAATCTATTAAATGGTACCCATTCAAGAAATAATGGATAATAAACATCATTATTAATATATTTTATCTTTGCATTATAAATCGTATCCTTGATAAATTCATCAATATCGTGATTTTCACTGGTCCATCCTTCAATTATGCAACGGGGGACACATTCTTTACACCATGGTTTTTCATTACTTGATTTATAACAATCTTTATGCATCAATTTATTAAATTTTGATGCTAATTGTTTTATTTTACTATTAATATAACTCATTTTATGATTAAAAATTTCAGTAAAAAAATTATTTGTAAAATATTGGGCGTTTATTTAAATTCTTTTTAATAGATGATGTTTGTATCACAGAAATTCATTTATTAGGAATTAGATTGGCGTAAAAATCAGTTGTACATAAAAAAAAAAAATGTTGTACAAAATGATCGACAATAAATTCATACATATCCATAATCTTTTAATCTTGGCCGAAACAATAATTTTGTCAATTTTAAAACTGAACTCTATGAATTTTTTTTTTTTTTTTGCCAGAAAATTATTTACGGTACATCGTGTTTAATAAATAAACAGATAAAATCTTAAACCTTTTGTAATAAAGTGTTAATCATCAACTACGTTTAAATAACTTTCAGTAGTTTTCTCTTTTATTTTCCTCTAAGTTTTGTTAGACTTTTTAATCTTTACGTTCAACACTTCACAATTATTTTTTGCTCCTATAGCAATATATTTATTGAGAAAAATATAATTTTTGAATTTTATTTAGACGTCATAAAATAAATTGTACGTTAAAGAAAAAAGACAGAATAGCCAAATTATACAAAATTATCATGCACAGACGTAAAATTCAAAATTTGATATGAGAAACTTCGATTATATATCCAAAAAATACAAAGTACTGTGTTTTTTTATTAAATATAAGCTTTGTAAAACATTATAAAACCGAATTATTTCGATAATTGAAAACAGTTGACGGTCAAGACACATGAAGATGATCTTTTTAAAATAGCCAAAATATTGGAATATGGGTGGTAATTTCTCAAGAGTTCAAAAGTTATTATACTGTTTCATTGCATAATATATTTGATATAAACTAATGAAAACAAACATCAACAAATTATAAATTTGTTAGCAAAACCAATCTTTTTTTAAAAAATATTAGAAATCTTGGCATTTGATAAATAAACTTTAAAAAACTTGGAAATATTTAAGTACGTAATTTAAACTAGCAGGAAAATTATGATCAGCCGCTGATCTTAATAAGACGTAATTTAACACTCATATTACACATGATATCAAGAGTGATCACGTAGTTAAAAGGATCTAACCGAATTTGGGAAATTTTTGTAACACATCCACCGTTCACATGTCCGTTAATAATTATGCATTTCAGAAAAAATATTTTTTTCCCGCCAAGAAAAAAATTTTGAAAAAATAATTTAATAAACGCAAGGTAACGTAGGATTCTTTAACATATATATACATTAAAAAACTGTAAAAGAGAGAAGTAATAAACGAATATAATTATGCAAACAAATTTTTATTAGTTCCAAGTGATGCATATCCAATTTCTGAAATTTTCTTTGATGATGTTCCAAAAATCCGAAAAAATAATATAATAATATCAATTTTCTAATATTTTAAATTATTACATTCATAGGTTCTTTGTATATTTTAGTACAACAATTACAACAATATGTTGTGTATTTATTAATCGTAAGTATAATCATAGGTTTCAATTATTATAATTTTTATAATTTTTAAATTTCAGTGTATTGTTCTTAATTAAAATTAACTTTTACTTTATCGTTTATATTTACTAGATGATTTTCGTATTATAGTTATAACGACTCGAAAATAGCTGTTTCCGTATATCATATATATTTACCGGGAATGAAGATTTAATATTTTTAGGTTAACAGTTAATATTTTTAGATTAATACTTTTAAGTTAATACTTTTTAAGTAGATTAATACTTTTATATACTGTATATTTAAATATTTTTATCTAAATATTAAAATTTTTTGAATATTGATTAATAGATATTATTAGAACGAGTATCATAAAAAAATTCTTTATTATATCAGATATCATTCGTTTCCAAATAATGTATCTTATTAATTTAAACATCCGTTCGGTAATCAAGTATTTTTTTCATTAAAAATATACCAAAATACCAAAAGTACATTTGAACGACGATAATTGTACTATAAATTGATCTTATTTTTGTATTTACTGTATATATCGATATCTATATTTAAATAATCTATTTTTAAATAAAAAGGTTAGATTATAAAAATTTATAGTAAATCTCAAGTTAACATGTGCTTCACAAAATTTATAACGTGAATCCTTATATAGAAAAAAAACTTAAAAAAGTCCAAAAAAAAGATGTGTAT